CATCAATACATTATACTAACATGTTCATCTTAAGAAGTATTCTATAACATGCTTGTCAAAATTCAGTAAACAAAATTGTCTGCTCATCAAAATCCATTTTTCTTGCAATGCTAGCACAATAAAATACCATAGCTACAAGGAACGGTGTACATTTTTTCAGTCTGCAATAGCCTCATTTACAAAAGTGTTATATGCTATACTAATAACAGTTGAAGTGCACTACAGCTAAATGTATATTATGAACATCCATAACATGGTATGGTGACTGCAACAAACGACAGTACACTTTACTATGCTGGAAAAATTCCGTGAGCTATCAGTAACAGTAGTGCAGTACTCGTACATACGCAATAAAACATGCAATTTAACTACCGTCAGTAATACATCAAACAGGCACTCTAAAGATGATCGATGCCGTAATAGTTCAACAAGTTCCTGCGGTAACCTTCACAATTTAATGTTAACTATAAACTAGCGATGCGATGATTAGGGAAATCGATATCGCATTAGAGTACCGATCGAGATATCATCTATCAAAATGAACTGTTTCTATAAACGCTGAATTCATGTGTAAAGTTTTTCTGTTAACAGTGTATTCCAGCCAACCGCTGTCGCACTAATGACAAGTAGAAATACTCTTGTTCAAAAAATGTAAATAGAGTAACTCAAATCAATCCACGAACAGCAGGTCTGAATCGAGTATTCGGCATTACTAATACATTATTCCTTGACATAGCCATTACGCAGTATGTAACGTGTCGTTACTGTATACAACATATCGTAAAAAGTACTACTGACTTGTAACATATATGCCATAGCACAGGACATGGACTATTCTGAATACGGTTCATCAGCCTTCTATTTTGTAATGAATGCGGATATAAGACGTCAACCCATTCCTCCAGGTTGTGGTCAGAATACGTGTCACTGACAGGTTCGTCTTAACGACATAAGGAACTCTGTCACCCCCATATCGCCGTTATTTCGTTCGACAATTAGATGAGGGGCCATAATAGATCTCCATACATGGGACCCATAAAGGCTATCGATGCTTTTCCTGATATGCAAGATCACGCATGCCACTATCACTAAGTATTTCCATAGTTGGTGTCCCACGCTTTCCCAAATGCTTAAGTGTATACAAATTAAACCTTAAGTTTAACGTATCTTACACGAGTATGCCGATGCAACGGGTGGAAGGGGACGTCCAAAATACAGCAATGACAGATCAATCAATAACATCTTCTAAGGTAGATGACAGAAAGACATGGCATCAATCGCCTGAATGATGGCAGAACAATTATTGGAAATATGCATCGCATAATTTACTGATCAGTATTCACTGACCCCAATCAGGCTTTCATTTAAGAAAGATTGTCAACTGTCATTTCGTACAAAACCATAACTGGACAGGGTAGACATAGTTTCTCAGCTTCAAGAACCACTGTTGTCCGTAAATTCAGCTACAGTAATGAAAAGGTGTTTTTGCATATGATCGTGCACGCATGCAAATATCCCCTGGAGTATGATGTTTTCACTATCGCGGAACAATATACTTCTGTCATTCTGGTCTAGCATATGAAAGGCAAATGCGTCACTGTAAACTCTAAGAATTTTATCATATGGTTTTGTACCATATCGCAATTTTTGCTTGAAGCAAGTTGTATAGCCCTCTGCAAGGTGAGCCGGCTAGATTAGCCGCACAAGATCCTTCCTTAGGGTGAGACTGAGGTTCGACAGTAGTCAACGAAATCTACCGTGACGAAAAGTTCACTACGAGTTTCTCTTCTCTATCTGTACTGATTGCTTGAAGAAGGTAAAGGACGAAAGCTAATGAATTTGCGAAGGTTGATAGCCTGAATGAGTTGCCCAGGCAACTCGCCAAAAAATACGTTACGCATGAAGAATACCGGGCAGCAAGTGCAGGCTGCAGCGAGAGCTAGCCAAAAATTGTGATTATATGTGACTTGATGATGGCCAGGTCAAGACTCAACTGGCAAACGCCAAAAGGAAATAATAGAGATCTTCGTGATTACACCAGAAGTCTGCCATTAGACATGCTAGTCAGCATCTACGTTACCGAGGCGAAGAAGATTACAGCAGATGTTCGCAGAGTTATTGCACAGTGGAACAACGGTGATCAAATATTGTTCGGGAAAGCTTACGGAATCCTGGTTTGGACAGTTGGTGTAGGACTGACAGAAGAAGGTACCATTTATATTCACCTGCGATTTCAAATCACCTCCTCGTCGTACTAATTCTGAAGGTGAATAAAAGAAGGTCACTGAAGATTATCGAAGTGTACGGCCCACTACAGTAAGCAAACGATGATAAAGTAAAGCAGGTATATGAGTAACTGGAAAGTCTGATACAAAACATGTCTAAGGACATAATCGTCCAAGGAGATTTCAACGCCGGAGTAGGAAAAGAAGCAATTGCTGACTGAGCGTTTCATCGACTGAATTGGAAGTGAAGCGCGAAGAGAAAGCCTCGTCGTATTCACCAAAAGTAACCACTTCCATAACATACTGAAAAAAGCCAAGAGGTAACCATGGACGTGGAGCAGCCATAAGAAAGACCATCAGCGAAACATGCTGACTAACACAAGGCGGGTAGCGAATGTGTTACTGGAGAAAACATAGTCTGCATAGGGTCAGATCACAGATTAATACCCTTCCAAGTAACAATCGACAATTCTAAAGAAGATCGGGTTAGAAGGTATCAAAGACCACTAGTCGCTGGACGAATATTTGATCTTGAAGGCTTCGCAGGTAAGTTTCTTTAGCTGACGACAGTGGACACCAACAGACATCGATGTTGACCACCAGCACCTAATCGATACCATAGACACTACCATTCAGGTTCATACAGGCAGAAACGTTCGATGAAGAAACAACGTCTAAGTCCTGCAACGAGTCAGCTACTGGCTAGAAAAGCCATTATGTAGGCTGATGAGCAACTGTGGACGAGTACACTGCGTTATCCAAAGGAATCCAAAAGAAGATTCTCAGTACTATGACAAGTATAGAAGAACGAAGTTGAAAGAGGTGTATTAAAGAAGAATAGCATGAAGGCAGCGAGAAAGATCATCCAACTGAGCGGATTCCGGTAGCACTAAAGGACGAATGGGGACAACGAACAACAAATCGTTGTCGTTTAAAAGCGATCAGCTGGAGGTTTTACAACAACTTCTACTCCTCGATGACGAAGGTAAACCGGAAGCTGCCGCACGTTTACCCAGAAACCGTTCCCAATGTCAAGAGCAACAAAATAGAGTGGCAGATGTCCTGACGGGGACAGCATAAGACCGGAACATCTCAAGTCAAGAGAAATGACATGACCCCGTTCAAAGCCCTTGCGAAACGATTTACAGAGTATGTGATGATGAAGAAGACGCCAGAAGCATGGAAAGGCTCTGCGACGATTCTCCCATTCAAGTTGGCCGCGCTTAACTATTCTATCCTTGTACAATAACGAGAGAGGTGACAAAACACAGCCTTGGCGGAGACCAATGCCAATGCTAACGACTTAACGCTCTTGACTCTGACGCAACGCTAGCTGTACACATATAATGACTGAATGAATGTCACGTAGCAAATGGTCGTCGATTCCATGTTTTCAGGTTAGACTTCATTGTACGTCGAAAATAATGCTGTTGTACGCCGCTCAACTGAACTGCGTAATTACATATAAATCAGCAAATAGTCAATATCCATTCTTTGCATTTATATGAACTGTAAGAGGTTTGCGATTTACATTATGACTGATGTCAGAAATTAAGTATTCGCCAAGGAGCATCTGGGAGTGCGCTGTTCAAGTATAAAACTGAAGCTTCCTCGAATAATCGTTTTATCTGTGACAATCTGGTCACAGTTAACCTTAGAATATGAAACTGGAAACCGCGCCGAGAATAAATCATTACCGCTTGAGGGAACAGTCGATTACTCCGTGCCCCGCTGCAACAGGACAGCTGGATTTCATTTCAGGAGTCTTTACAGAAACCTGCTTCATATCCTTCATGACAGCCATCTCGTTAACGGCAGGCAACGGTTCAGTTTCAAGGCGACTCTGCTGTGGTTTGGATTTCTCAGGAAATTTGTTTTTATGTCGTTCGTGTTCTGGTTTTGGAGTTAGTTCTCTAGCACCAGAAACATCGGCAGCATTTGCGGCGATGGGTCGATTTTGAGTTTTCGACCCCGGAGTCTGCGGATCACCGTTGACAGCGGCGCTTTCAGACTTGTGCCTAAGATGCTTCTTCCGCCGTAGCGGTTTCTGAGGGATCGAGCCGCTGCAACTCTTGCTCAACTGTTCCCAGATCTCCAATGGGTCCTCTGTTAATGGTCGAATCGGTCTTTCGTCTGGTATCGAATCAGGCAACGGCAATATCAGACTGGTCGCTTCAGGTTCGGGTGAAACTCCACGAGAGACGAACACGCTGTCCTGCAGCTGAAGTCGAAACTCTTGGCCTCTGTGAGGATCGTCGAAAGAACCGGATGCCGAAAATGTAGACGAGAAACAGCACTCGTCAAGCGGGGAACGGACCGTCGAGCTGCGGTCAGAGGAAACCGACGACGCATGCCTCATCAGCTTTTCGTGCCTCAGTCGCTTCGCTTCCTCCTGAGCCTGCAGCCACGCCTTGTATACCTTCATCTCTCTTCGGTCGCTTTCTTCCTGAACAAGAATAAACGCTTTAAACCTTACGCTTTACAACGTTTACGACCAAACGCTCCATACCATCATCTGGCGCCACTTATTTTTCTCTTTGTCGCTCTCCAGTGTTACGCGCCGTTCGACCAGTCGATGCTCGGCATCGAGTCGCTGCAGTTCCCGTCGTTCTCTCTCACGTTCCAATCGTTCTTTACGCTGTTTCTCCTTGATCTGTTCATCGATCGCCAGCTAAATAAATACAAATAATTAATTTTGCAATCATATAATTTAAATTTTGAATAAATTTTAAAAAATCATTTTTAACATTCTCGGCCGTCTTCAAGCTCTTAAAATGCGGTCTTGCTAATATTTTATATACATAAAATGATTTTTTAAAATTTACTCAAAATTTAGTGGTGCAGTGCACCTCCAAAGGCTTAGAAACCCTATGACGTACTTGTCTGCTCTCTTTACGATACCACCTAATGCAATAAAGCAGAGTGACATAATACCATGCATGGTGCTGCACTTGTGACTAATATAACACGCTACAATATAACAGCATATAATACAATGAGATGATGCAATGTTCGCGCAGGAAATTTGCAACAACAAAACTGGCACAATATTAAGAAAGTAAATAAATGTATAACCATATGAGTGTACGAATAAATCTATAACCACTCGGGTGCAGTTCTCCCTGACCTCTAATGACTGGGCAACAGAACACAATTTGGAGCTGTTTTCTTTCGTATAGTTTACAGCATGGAGCTAATGTATGTCACAATACGAACAGAGAGCGGTGTCCTTTTGATCTTTATGGTCTTCTTTTCATACATTGTATCCACAGCATGGAGACCACAATAGCACGTAGACTGTTTCTAATCCATAATGTAGTATACTTATCATTTGTTTATCCCGCAATAAACAAATGAGACTGGCTCACCCGGGAATTAATAAGCCCAGGGCCATTTTATTTTGTATGATACGCCATAATGAATGAACAGACCGCGTCAGCGACCATCATCACAAAACAAATATTCAAGAAAAGTACCCGTTGGAAGCATGCTTTTATTTTCTTTTCCTCTGCTTCGAATTCGTCCGTCTGGTCTGAGATCAAAAATCTTCGGTGAAAACTGAAAAGAATTGTCAGTATCGCGAAGAAGATGAGCGAAATGCAATTGTACTCTTTTATTACGTTATCAAAAGGAACAATTATTACTACATTCGCAATTTATGATTATCACAATACAATTCTGGGTCCATATGTATTCACTCTGACACTGAAACGTAAAACAATAATTTCAAACACAGTAGCATTTCGTTACCGATATTGCTAACCATAATGAGGGCAGAAGTTGCATGATGATGCGATGCCACCAATATCAGTAATGGAACATGTTGACTGTTAAGCAAAACCCTTACTGTAACTATACCCTTACTGTAGCTAATTTACATTTAGGTATCCTAATCATACATCAAGTACTTCTTCTACATTACGCCATGAATAAATATTGTAGTACATACGTATGTAATTAATTACAAATTAATATTACCACTTAATTACCGAATTCATATTCAATTATCTGTTGTCTGGTAGGAGTGAAGCCTACAATATCGACTGAACTTCTACAACAAAACCTTGCTGAAAAGTAACTGCAGCAGTTAACGACCAAACCAGAGGTGCTGTCTGACCCAATCTACACCTTCGGTATCATCCAGAGGAGTTGTTACAGTATGTGAGATATCTTGACCACTTAATTACAAC